TTTTTAAAAAAAGGTTTATGAAAACATTAGAACTGCTAGATGCACAATGATACTCAAGAGGGTAGGACAATTCCATTTTAGATATAACTCAGAGCAATATTATGTCTTCTCCACACCAACACAGGTGGAAATTGAGACTAGCATATGGCCATGACCACAGACAGAGCTGTTGGTGCCCAACCCAGCCAGCACCTTCTATAGCAGCCCGGCCTCATTGGTTACCCACTGCATAACCACCAGCAATTTTCTGAAGCTGATATAGGAAGTGACACTACTGGGTTTGAGAGTTGGCTCTCTCTATGCCATCCTGTATTAGGGGAAAGTCCACCTTCTCCTCTGCTTTAGGCCTTTGTTAATTATTTTAATAATCATTCTTGCTCAATCAATACATGTGAAATTTAGAAAATAAGTAAAAATAATACTTTTCCATCTGGGCGCAGTGTTGTAATTACAGTGCCTGTAATCCCAGAGGCTTGGGAGGCTGAGGCAGGAGGATCACGAGTTCAAAGCGAGCCTCAGCAACTTAGTGAGGTGTTAAGCAACTCAGTGAGACCCTGTCTCTAAATAAAATACAAAATAGGGCTGGGGATGTGGCTCAGTGGTCGAGTGCCCCGACTAAGTTCAATCCCTGGTACCCAAAATAATAATAATAATAATAATAATAATAATAATAATAATAATAATAATACTTTTCCAGCCACTCAAAGATTGGGTTGGATATAATCTTCCAGATTTTTCTATGTGTAAACAGGTGTGAGGTCACAATACACATACAGATATTTTTCTCTCAACATTTATTTTGAAAATTTTCAAACCTACCATAAATGGGAAAAATAATATAATGAGCATCTCTAAATAATTCACCTGGATTTATGAATTGGTACCTTTGTTTTGTCTGTATGCCTGTCTCTGTCCCCAAGAGGTACATAGATTTCTATATTTTCATGTCTAGATATAGGCATCTATACATCTATATGCAGATATAAAGATCCCTATATAAAGAGATCTATATAGACAGATACAGCAATAGCCATATAGAGAAATACATTAACCAGGACGTCACCTATACCACACGATCACCACATTCAAAAAATATAACACTGGTACAATATCATTAACATTAATATAGCCCATATTCAAAGTTCCCCAATTGCCCAATACTGGCCTTTTCAGTTGGCTTCAAACGTTGGGTTCTCTGGAAGTTCACACAGAGGTGGAGTTTGGGGTGCAAAATGTTGATCAGTACATATGCATGTGAAAGGAAGGAGGATTGGACAGAGGAAGGAGCTGAACTGCCAACCAGCCTGACAAAGCCTCAGTTTGCCCAATGGGGAGCAAGAATTGCCCAGCAGATTGTACGACACAGAGCCAGACGGGACTTGATAGCTCCTCCTGGGTCAGTTACCTGGAGCAGGCTGCTCTCTGCCTAAAGCAAATCCTGAAGAGCCGACAGTTGGAGGCTGCCGGCCAGCCACGTTCTCCCCACTGGGCAGCAGCAGGTCTTGAGGGGAGATATGGGTGGCACACTTCCATACTTCCTGGATCCAATCAGTGGTCACTTGTTGCATTACATTGTCATGTCTCTCCAGTCTTCTTTAAATGATAGCATTTCTGGCTTCATCTGTTTTGGCTGTTATAACAAAATAGCATAAACTTGGTGTCTTATAAACAACAAAAATTTGGTTCACCAGCAGATTTGGTGTCTGGTGAGAGTCTGCTGTCCTTCCTAGATGGCTCTTTCCATCGTAGCCTCACGTGGCAGAAGGGGTGAGGAATCCCACTGGGACCTCTTGCAAGGCCACAAATCCCATTTATAAGGACTTCACTCTCATGACCTAATCACCTTCCAAACTCCATACTTCCAAATATGCTCACAGTGGGGTATGTTTCAGCATATAAGATTGGGGGCAGGGGACATAAACATTCCCTTGATAGCAACTTCTCCTGCCTTTTTTTATCCTTATAATACTAATATTTTTGAATGGGCCAAACAATTATTTGGGAGAATGTCCTTCAATGTATGTTTGTCTGATTATTTTCCAACCTACTCTGTTAAGTTTCCCTTCCATGTAAACTACCTAAATGACAATCAGATTTTCCTGATTACAGCCACTTTGTCGAGGCCAGTGTCTGATCTAATACCACAGATTGCATCTGATAGATACATTCCTTAGGTGTCTTTTAATCTAGTATGTTATTCCTCTTATGTGATAAATTTGGTGGAGAGACTGGGCACTATCTCTGTACCCCATCTTCTGCTTGCTTTGGGTCTTCTACTCGATGAATTCAAGTTGAACACTTTGTCTAGAATACAAATAAGCAGTAGTGCAATCTCTGTGAAACGCATTATCTGATTCAGGTACACTGTACACCTTGAGACAGGGGTCTATTACTGGGTTTCAAATGTTCCCTGCTCCCTGTTTCACAGCTCACTAGTTTAATAAAAGGCAATGTGCCTACTCATAGCCCTGTGTTCCCCAACAGGAGAGCATCACAGGTTTGTGGGACACTCAGGTGGAATGAGAGGTAGAGGACAATAAGGAAAGCCACAGAAACCTGTGTTCTCATCCTGACTCTGACCTTGCCTCTCTGTGTACCTTTAAATAAGCCCTTGATCTCACTTCTTGAACCTAAAGCACAAATAGAACTTTTTTTGTCCTGCCGAGTTTGGGAGCAGTGAACAGGATCCCATGGAGTGTAGATGTAGAAGCACATGACAAACTGGAACACACAAGGTGTGAGGGATGCTTCATACCAGGAGTGCAGGGTGGGGTTAGCTCATCCCCATCCTGTGATGGTGGTGGTGGTGGGAACTGGGTTGGTCATGGAGGATACCAGCCTACAACAGCCAGACCAGAGGGCATATGAGCCATACTTGCATCCCCATCCCTGATGTTTGTGATTTTCACTGTGCCAAGGGATGGGCATTCCATTCAGTCTTCCCAGCAATGCTGGAATGTAGTAATCCAGGTCTCAGAAAAGGACATACAAGTGTCTTTCAGGAACACCTGCCCAAGTAGACCTTCCTTCAGCAGCAGACGTGAGCTCAGAAGGCAGGATTCCCCAGGACTGAGCTCCAGGAATCTGAGCTGGAAACTGTCATCAGCAGAGTAGCCTGGGTTTGAGGTCACACCAGGCCACTTTGGATTGAACGGGGATCCCCAGGGTCAGAAGAAGCAACTGACCCATGCCAAGTATCCCACACAGACCGGAAGCAACCACTGCTCACCTGCTCTGCCTCAGGGAAGGAGGCCCAGAAAGAAACACAGCCAGAGTCCCTCCAGGCAAGTGACTGCTTATATATAGACTGGGAACAAAATGACACAGAGAAAGTAGCAGCATCAAGCCTTGGAACCCAGGAAAAAGTTCATTCCTCACTCTGCCCAGAGTTTTAGGTAGTGGTGAGGATTGAAGGGAAGTTACTGGTATCGCCAACCATGCCTTCCGGTGGTGAAATAGCATGAACAGGCTTCTAGAGGTTACAAACGGGTGGCCCCCGTGGCCTGGTCAAACCTGTTTCTCATAGCCATTTTAATAGTGTGGCTGCTTTCGTGTGGGCCTTCTCTAGTATGCTGAGGGTCAGTTTCACTATCTGCCACAGCTCCAGGAGGTGGGCAACCTAAAAATGACATGGTGGTTGTGACCAGCTCCCATTTTAACTTCTGCCTTTCAGGTCAGCAGGAGTCATGGCCCCACTGGGAGAGCTGAAACTCTGGTCCCCAGTCAGGAGCTGCCTGCTCAGCATCTGTGCCTCTCAGCTGTACTGCGAATGTTTCAATCCCAGATTGAAACATTCTTGAGGTTCTAGGCAAATTCCTTTGAGAAAGGGGGCATATTACCTCACTAGCAGCCAGTGCTAGTTGGTTAATCAAATATCAGAAAAGAGAAAGGAGTATGAGGGTATGGCTCAGTGGTAGAGCACTTGCCTGGTGAGCAGGAGGTCCTAGGTTTGATGCCTGGCACAGGAGGAGGGAGGGAGAGAGAGAGAGAAGGAAAGGAAGGAAATTGGCTTCTATTCAAGCCTGCTCTGAGCCAGGCACAGTGGTACACACTTGTAATCCCAGAGACTTGGGAGGCTGAGGCAGGAGGATCTCAAGTTCAAGGCCAGCCTGGACAATTTGCAAGACCCTCAGCAACTTAGCGAGATCCTGTCTCAAGATTCACAGTACTGGTGATGCAGCTCATTGGTAAATGTCCTGGGTTCAATTTCCAGTACCAAAAGAAAAAAAGAGAAATCTACTCTAAGCTGAGTAACTGGATATATCATCTGTTTAAATGCCCCAACATCATTGTAGTTGTAGGGTAGATGGCACCCCATTGTGCTAAATGGAAAGCCAAGATTATTTAGCTTCCCTTGAGTTGCACAGACAGTAAAACAATAGCTAGTTTTTCAACTCAGACCTGAATGTGAAGCTGTGTCCTCTACCCACACTGGCTCATCTGGAGCACCTATGATGTGCCTGGTACAGGACTAAACACAGCCTCTGCCCTCATCCAGTTCCCAGTTTGAAAAAGAGTTAGCATATGCACATGTGTACACTCCTGCCTCTTTTCTTTCCCCAAACTCAAACTGCTTTTCAAAGAGTTGCAGCTACTAATAGCAGGATGTGAGATGATTTTAGGTGAAATGTAAAAATGAACTATTTTTTTCAGTGTGTGTGTGTGTGTGTATCTCATAAAAATAGAGTTAGTTCAGGCTCTACACTTATAATTCCAGCAGCTCAAGAGGTTGAGGCAGGAAGATTACAAGTTCAAAGCCAGCCTCAGGAACTTAGTGAAGCCCTAAGCAATTTAGTGAGACCCTGTCTCTAAATAAAAATTTGAAAAAAAAAAAAGGCTGGGGATGTGGCACAGTTGTTAAGTGCTCCTGGGTTCAATCCCCAGTACACACACAAAAAATGAGCTAGTTCATAAAATATATGGTTTCATAGATATAAGAGATGATTATTTTAGTCTTTGTCCCCAGCTCCTGGCATAGAGCTCCTAAAACTTCATAATTTCCTGAGCAATAGGATATATCTTCTGTTATAATATTTGATCTTTGACCCCCAGAATTCCTGACACAGAACTTCTAATCCCTTGGAATTTCCTGAGTAATAGGATTGTCTTTTGTTCCAACAAAGAACAAAACTCTTGATGTCTTGATGGATTCCTGAACAGCAACTGGTCAGAAGAACTACATCATAGTTAGAAGCTTAGAACCTTTGGCCCTATACCCAGTCTCCTGGGAAGAGGGACAGGAGATTGAGTCAATACTGACCACGGTTACATGATGAAGCTTCCATAAAAATTCCTATTGGGTTTGGAGAGTTTCTCACTTGGTGAACACATGTATGTACCAGCAAGGTGGCACACCTCAGCTCCATGGGACCAGAAGCCCCAGCATTCAAAATCCTTCCAGAGCTCACCCTATGTACCTCTTCATGTGGTTATTCAGCTATATCCTTTACACCAGTTAAGCCAGTGTGCATAAGCAAGTAAGAATTCCAACAAATTATGGAACCTGAGGACTGGGTTATGGGAACCTCCAGTTTATAGTCAGAAGAGTAGGTAGGAGAAAGAAGTTGTCAGAAACCTGACGACCCTTCCCTTGTAGTCAGCATCTAAAACGGGGACCAATCTTGTGGGCATTATTCCTTAACTTTGATGTCTGCACTAAATCCAGATAGTGTCAGAACTAAATTGAGTTATAGGACATCCAGCTGTAGGACACCCAAGCAAAGAATTGAAGAACTGCTTGATATAAGAAAAAAACCCCACATATCTGGAGCCCAGAAGTTTTGCCAAAGTAACAGAAAAATGAAGTTTTTCATCTTACACAGACATTCCGTCAATGAGGCTGCAGGAGGTGGCCATGTGAGTAAAGGCCAGGAGACAGGAAATGACACTGTAAAGGAGCTGGGCCACCCTGGTCCTTCTGGGCATGAGCCCACTCCATGTCTCTGGGCACCTACTGCCAACCTTCTTGCCCCTTCTGGTATTGCTGAAAACAAGACCTGCAGCTGGCCTTTCTCAAGCCCAAGGCACTTCTGCCTCACTTTTGGCCAAAGCTGGTGACCTCACCATGTTTCAGGTCAGGTTCCAGCAAAGAGGGTCCAGCAAGGAGGCCAGGGTCCCTCAGGTACCAATTCAGACACAGCACAGAAGCCAAGGGTGAGTGAGGGCATTGTAGGATCCAGTCCTTCTTTTACTCTATCCAATAAAATGCAGGCTTTAAGAAGTCACCAAGCGCTGGCCCCAGTGACACATGCCTGTAATCCCAGAGGCTCAGGAGACTGAGGCAGGAGGATTGAGAGTTCAAAGCCAGCCTCAGCAAAAGCGAGGCACCAAGCAACTCAGTGAGAACCTGTCTCTAAATAAAATACAAAATTGGGCTGGAGGGGCTGGGGTTGTGGCTCAGAGGAAGAGTGCTTACCTAGCATGCATGAGGCACTGGGTTTAAACCTTAGCACCACATAAAAATAAAACGAAGGTACTGTGTCCACCTACAACTAAAAATTAAATGTTAAAAAAATGGGCAGGGGATGTGGCTCAGTGTTTGAGTGCCCCTGGGTTCAATCCCCAGTACCTCCCAACAGAAAAAGAAGTCACCAAAGTGGGTGCAATGGCTCACACCTGTAATTCCAGAGGCTTGGGAGGCTGAAGCAGAAGGATTGCAAGTTTGAAGCCAGCTTGGACAACTTAGCAAGACTCTGAATCAAAATAAAAATTTTTAAAGGGCTGGGGATGTAACTCAGTACTAGAATGCATGCCTTGCATGTGAGGGGCCTTGAGTTCAATCTCTAGCACTACAGTGGGGGGGAAAGTCACTAAGAACCCTCTACGCTCAGTCCTGGGAAACCCATTCAGCATACACACGCACGCCCCCACTATCATTGCCTTCTCATAAGCCACAATACAATACAATTAGGGCAACATTCCGAGAATTAAACACTCATTAGAAAGGAAAATAGCTATAAGTGATTGAGAGCAATTTTCTTGACAAGAACTCATTAGGAGGCAAAGATTTCAGTTAATTAAATAGAAGAAAGTGGAGCCTTCTCTGGACTGGAGCATCACTGCCCAAGCCAGGCCCAGTGCCCCGTAGTGAGATGCCCAAAGCCCTTTGTAGGCACTTCCTTCCTGGGAGGAAGAGCTGTGCTCCAAGGAGCCTGGCAAGAGCGGGAAGTAAGTATGAAAGACAGAGAGACAGCAAGACAGAGAGGCGCCTCTTAAAGAGTCAGTTCAGAGGAGAGGCTAAGTATTACCAGGAAGAGCTGATGGCGGTGCGGTGCGGGATGGCTCAGCAGTAGAGCACGTGCGTACCTTTTGCATGGCCCTGGGTTCATTCTCCAGCATCTGCTCCCCCACCAACAAAGAGCACCAACCCTGTTCTAAGCCCTACACCACAACACTGCAGGGTAGATTTGGGTATTTTCCATCCCCATTTGACAGACAAAGGAATGGAGGCTCAGAAGGGATAGAGTCTTTGCCCTGGGTCTCACCTGGTCGGGGAGAGATTCTTGTTAACATATTGGAAGGTTCATGCTCACTTCTGCTGAAGCTGCATCATTAGGAAGCCCATTCCTTTACCTTAATGCATCCTAAACAACCTACTAAAATGCAAACATTAACCCCATTTTCATCCCTTATGACCTCCGTGCTGAGTGTTGGGTGGATTAAGGATATGAAAGCAAGAAGAACCCACAGTATTCAGAGACACCACAAAATCCTGGGACCTCACATTACTCAGGGAGAATAGCTGAGAAAGTGATTCCAGGGAGGACACACAAAGGGAAAAGGAGCCAAAGGACCCTGAAACCTGGGATAGCACAGCTGCGGCTCTCAATGACATCACCCAGAGTTGCAGGAGCCCTTCCCCGCCAGCTCCAGTCATGGCTCCCTTTGGACAGCTGTATCCTTGCAAGAAAACTATATGGAAGAGACCTCTAAAAGTATAGTGTACAAAAAGTAGAGTGTATAAAAGTATAGAGATCGGCTGGCTCTCAAAGCTTAGGAAAGGGGAAACCAGTAGCAGGGTGGACCATACCTTCCAAAGCAGGGTCCAGAGTAAATGGGGCCCCATCTCCATTAATTAGAAGAAGAAATGCTTGAGCTAAAAGTTCTGGAGTAAGGCAGGATCACACTGGAGGTTAGGGGACTGCCTTTAATCCTCACCTCCCAATGTACAAATCACTGGAATCCCTAAATGATGCTTTGTCATCTGTGCCCACCATGGACCCATCTTAAACCAGGCCTGCCACCTCACTGGCCAGCAGGGAGGAGGTGCTGGTCAAGCACACAAATCTCTGGTCTGCCTGGCAGTTATCATTCTCACTGGTGATGGATCAGTGGATGAATCATGCTGCCTCAGTCTCGGAGGATTTGGAGATGTGAGTCAGCTTCCCCAAGTCCTGTGTGCTATGAGATGCTGACCAGGTGGATCTCCTGAGGGTTGGAACAGGACTACGGTGACTCAGTCCACCTAGGGCAGAACCCTTATGAATCAGCCTCCTCCCTCAGGGTTTGCATGCGCTTTCTACTTAGAAACTTCTACCCAAAGTAGGTGCTTCGTGTTGGATAGAGGATGAGTGGACAGATGGATAGACAGATGAACAGAAGTAAGACTGCAGAGTCTAATCTCCTGACTTCTAAAGCTGAAACTCACCCACCATACTGGGCCATCTTTTTGGCTATATCTTCATCTTTTGTTTCCCTGTTAAGGGAGACCCATGGCCAATACCCCCAGGCCTGCTCACCAAGTTCTTGCTGACCATCTGAACTGGACTCCAGCAGCAGGGATGGATCCAATGGACTTCATGCTGTGGGGGAGGGGCTCCTCCCTCTTGGATGATGGAGGTGGGGACTAACTTCAACCCTTTCCAGTTTCAGTGAGTAGGATGGAATGGGGTGGGGGTGAGTTCCTAAGGACAGTGCCCAGTTGAAAGCCACCTTCCACAGTCAAACTGTTCTGGTGACACGAGGAGATGGGAATGTTTTAGACATTTTTTGTTTGTCTTAATGAACAGCATAAAGAAATCTCCACCAAGCTTTGGGCATTGGCCAATCACTTGTCACTAAGGATGAACACACAACCTATAAGCAATTCCTACTCACAGTGGTTCTCAGTGTGTGTCTTCATGAGACTCCTTATTCAGGGCATCCCAGGACCTAGTGGCAGAAGACCAAACTGTGTTCACTTTTGTGCTGTACCCAGGGGCCTTCCCATATGATGTCCCAGACCCTTCCTTCTGACTCCTCATTGGTCCTGAGACTGTTCTAGTAATAAAAGGAACTGGGGCTTTGGAATTCAGAGGCCAGGATTCATGTTCACACCAGGCTTACGAGGTACAGTTGGTTGCCTTCTGTCCCCAAATATCTAGCAAAAGGGGTTCAGCCTTCAGCTGTGCATGGGCAGGACTGAGTCCATGAAGGTACCATATGGGTTATCAGGGGCCCGGTCAAGGTCCTGCCATTACTCATCCACATGTGCTTGGGAAAGTCATAGTCTCTTCTCCAAGACTTGGTTTTCTTACCTGTAGAAAGGAAGTAATGTGATGTTTGTTCTACTTACCTTGCAGGTGTATGTTGGGGTCAACAACTTGTAGGACCCAGCAGTGCTTTGTGGACACAGGGTAGTAGTACCCCATTGACCCACTTGGGGACAATACATTTGACCTCCTAGCATGCCAGGGCCACCATCCTGCTCTCTCCTGGGACCTGGTGATGCTATGGAATTCCTTCCCAGCTGTATTTATTCTTCTCTTGTCCTTTTATTTCTCCTTTAAGAACTCTTTCCAGATTGCTGTTAAATTTTCCTTATTGATTTTTAAGTTATTGTAAAGGTAATCAATTATTCTAGTTTTTTAAAAAAAGAGAGATCTTTGAGGCAGAAAATGAGAGAGAGAGGTTCACCGTCCTGAAGCAGCCACATCCTTTGGATGGTAGCAGAGTCTTCAGCCCTGCATTCTGGAGTCTGGCTCTTTGTTCTTTCCAAGCAACCCATGATGACAAAGACATCTGGGGGCCCACCCCACCCTATTCATGAATATTAACTTGCATGCACACCCTTTAGGGAGCAATGTCAACTTGACTGGAATGTTTGTAGGTCAGGAGGGAGATCCCACCACAAAAAAAAAACCCTCAGCAAATAACACCCACCATTGGGCAGCATGACCACTTCCCCACCCACATCCCACCTCCAAGGGATTGGTTCTAGGGTGGCAGAGGCTCCTGGAGCCTGTGCTTTTGAGAAGGAAGGAGCTGACTAGGGAGGGTTGTCAGCTTTTCCTGAAATGCCAATAAATCATAAGTTTCTGCCTGAATTACTTAAAAAACTAGAACACTCAGAAATACATCACCTCCTGCCCAGCACCATTCCCTTCCCATGGCAGCTGCCAAACATGAAGCGCAGGACTCGGGCACCCTCCATGCACCAGCAAGCCTTTGGCCATGGGGGTGGGCACGTGGCAGGATGTGGAGTTGGAATGAGTGTTCCTGGGTCTTTCTAGAAGGTAAACCAGTGGTTGGTGGGGGAAGACTGACTTCTGGTCCCAGCCACGTCCTAATGTACAAAGTGACCTCGGGTAAAACACTTCCTGTCTTTACCTATCCCCCATCTTTGCTGATCTGTATTTGCTGAATCCACTGAGCTCGGCACTTCACTTGTAATGTCCTGGTGATCATGCCATAAGGCAGCTCCCGCCATCTTCTCTGTTATGGTCTTAGAATCCTGAGGTGTGCAGAGGTTAAAGAGCACACCAAAGGTCACAGGTGAGGCCTGGGCCTGGGCAGTCTAGCTCCAGCCCTACATACTCACTACCATGCCAGGGGCACCGACTGCACTCTCCAGAGGCTGGACTGGGGATCTCCGGCACAGTGAGAGCCTGCGCCTTCTTTCTACAGGGCCTTGAGAGACAGAAAGAAGGTGGGGGGTCCCGAAAGTGAATCCTGACCACTCAGGAGAGGGGCCAGGGAGTAGGAAGAAGGCAGGGGCCTCTCATGCTAACTCATAAGATGAGCTAGTGACAGCTTCAGGGGCATTCAGAGTCCAGTCACAGGGGAGGTCTCAGGACAAGGACCAGGGAGCCCATGGACACCTTCACCTTCCTGACTCTTCCAACCCCGGGTAGCCTCCTCTCCTTCAAAACCACAAAGCCCCAAATGTCCATCTCTGTCAGCCCTGCCCAGAGAAAAAGGGTGACATGAGTGAGCCTTGTGTCACACTAGTGCAGTGACTTGGGGGTTTAGCTGAGGACTTGGCCTCAGCACCATCTGCTCCTCACTGGGACCCTTTGCAGGGCACAGGACCAACAGTCACCACAGCCAGGGGGACACCAAGAACTAGAATACTGATCCAGCTGTCCCTGTGCCCTCAGACACGCCTGAGTGACCGGGAGATCCTAGAAGCCATGGCAGAGAGGGAAAAAGACTCCAGCCCCTGCTGCACCACACACTTCCTAGGGGAGCCCATGCAAAGTCCAAGCTTAGGGCTCACAGTTCCAAGTAACAGAAACCCAAACCCAACTGACTCAAAAATGGAGGGTGGGGGAGTGTTAAAGGATTCTGGAACTTTTCATCACCCATGTGCTCAGGAGAAGATAAAATGAAGACTGAAATACCATAGGATGCTACTCACCCCTCTGCCCTGTCTCAGCGTGTTGCAGCGTGGCTTCCTCCACGTGGGAAAAACAGGGCGGCCATGGTACCAGCCATCATCAGAGCAATACTGCTTCCCTTGCCTTAGATCCAGCCTGATGAAAACAAAATAGAGGTTTTCATGGGCCAAACTGGGGTCAGTAGCCCCCTTCCCAGTTCAATCAATTTCAGCAAGGGGGAAGAGTCATAGGACATATCATGTGAGAAAGGGATAGCTACTAGGGCTATAATGTGTCCATATCATTCCCAGAAAAGGAGACTCACCAGGGACCAGCCACTCCAGTTGGTTATCTCTCATGCCTCTCTGAGCCTTCGTTTCTCCACAGTGAAGTAAGATGGATATTGACACAGCTGTGAGTTTTTGATGAGACTGTGTATAACATGTCCAGTGGCTGGAAATGTTCCACAAATATTTGCATATTCATTTTTACTTGTTGTTACTATTGTTGTCGCTGCTGTCGGTAGAAGGGCTTGCTCAGTCAGGTGAGGACCGAGGTGCACACCAGGAGGCCGTGGGCCGAGCAGAGCCTTGGTCATGGGTGCTGCCTGAGCCCGTGTTCTCACAAGGCCACTGAGTGCAAGCTCACATGGACGTACCCAGGACCTGCAGTGAGGGTTGTGGGAGAAGGTGGCCTCCAAGACAGCTCCCTGCCCAGGTCTCAGCCCATCCAAAGGGAGAACAGTCCAGATCCGCTTCCTCTTCTCCAGTCGTGAGGAACAAGCAAGAGAATGTGAATGGAAGGGAAAACTGTAAAGTCTTATTAGCAGTTTATTGTTGTTATTAATTATCATCTCAGAAAACTGCTGGGATTATGAGTCTGAGTTTCCTCACGTTTTCTCTAATGGCTATTACCATGAGGGGAGCCAAGCAGACTTAATTTGCTAATGCCAACAACTTAATTATGCAAAACCAGATCTGCTAATGAATTTCTCCCACTCTGGCTGCTGGAGCTGATTAGTTTTGCAGGTACCTTTATTGGAGGGAGAGGGAGGGCAGGAGCCTGAGTGTTTGGCTGTCCCTCCTCTATGCCCAGAAGCCACCCACTCGCGCACACACACACACACCCTGGACCAGGGCCACCTAAGATATGAATCACCAGCTCTGAGAGGCATCAAGATGGTTGAATAGATTATTTGGTGATTTAAGGTGGTTTTTTTTTCCCCCACTGAGAACAGAATCAAATAGCTTGTCTCAGAAGGCAGAAAAAGGCCACTATTGAATTAAATGGAAGCTACAAATGACTTTTTTTCCTCTCTCCTCCTCTCTCTGCTCTATTTCTGATGGCTATTTATAGACCCGAGTCTTCTTGTTGCAAATGAGGGACATTCTCTTCCCCCATCCTCCACTCTTCTGCCCCATATCCTTGAGGATGGTGGTCTTTGGAGGATCTCAGGATTAGACTTTGGGCACTGGTAGCCCAGGCCCCTTCTTGGCCTTCCTGTACCCTCTTATCAGCTCCTTCAGAGGGCAGCTGCCCCATCCTTCTCCCCCTATGAGTTTCTCCAGGAGCAGGACCAGTCTGCCTGCTCAGGGCCAGATGGAGGCTGGGGACAGTGAAGACCCCAATCATGTCATAGTATTTCAGTGACAGACTAAGAAACCCCTCTGGCTTAGTGAGGCCAAAGAAGACAATTTACCAGAAGAATCCAAACACCTCACAGATGAAAAGGAAGGGGGAATAAGCTTTCACAGCCTTGGGGAGGGCACGATTCAGGACGGCCTGGGGACCTGGGGATGCTGTACTTTTAGGGCACAAGTATTTTCCAGGTATTTTAACAACAAATAGTTCAAATCCCACTGTACTATACTCACTGCGTGATCTTTAATAAGTTTCTTAACCTCTTTGGGGCTAATTTATCTGTCATAGGATCATAAATCCTTCCACCCCATCTCTCACAGTTTCTTGTGAGTATAACCCAGATGCCGGCTGCAGTCCTGCTGTTCTTTGAAATTTAAATGAAATTGGCTGGGACCCCAGATCGCTTGTCAATGGAAATCCAATATCCTCCCCCAAGATTTCTGTGAATACTTGGGGATGGTTGCACTCAGGGGCACCTCTTGTCCTGTGGGCATCTCCAGCTCATTGGTATTGTTGCGGAGGGAAACCTAAACAAACTCTCTAACTTCATTTATTCTTTGTTGACTTAAAAAAAAATCACTTGGGAGGCTGGGACAGGAGGATCACAAGTTCAAGGTCAGCCTGGGTGACTTAGCAAGACGCTGTCTGAAAATAAGAAGTGAATTTAAAAAGGGGTGGGGATGTAGCTCCATGGTAGAGTGCTTGTCTAGCCTGTGAAGGCTCTGGGTTCAGTCCCCAGTACTGTACACACACAGAAAAACAAAATCACTAGTTTGGGAAGTCACAAACTGGGTCTTGCATTATTAGTCTCCCCTTAGCCCTGCTGTAGATGACTTCTCCAAATGAAGGCAACTCGCGGGTTAAAACTTTTCTTCTGTTGAGCAGCTGCATTTCCCTATCTTTCCCAGCAAAAAGTTGCTATTCTGTTATCTTTCCCTTTTCTCTGGTGAAAGATGCTTTTTTGTATCCTAATGGCTAATGGCTGAGTTAGCTATTCCTGGAAAAGGAATTAAAATGACATGAGTTATAAGACCTTCTAATCAGGAAATTTTCTTTAGACTTAAGATCCCAGGACTTCCAGTGGTCTGCAGATGACTGCAGTCCAGGCATTAGAAAAGCAGACCACCCGAAACTTGTGACTACTTGAAACCTGTGATGTCCGTTGTCAGATATGCCTCCCCAGCGCTCCCTCTGGAAGCCTTGCACCTACAAGCCCTAAGTGAGGTGGTCTTTGTTGGCAAGAGCTTCCATCTTCTTTGATTTGCTAGCTTTCTAAATAAATCCTGGTCCTTGTCCCAACAATGTATCCTCAAGTCCTTGGCCTTCTCAAGTGGCACGCCATGAACTTGGGTTCATGGTCACAGCAGCCCACATCCATGGCTGTTTTGTGTCTCTGCAATTCAGCCTCCCTCCTTGATTTCCCCAAAGGAACATTTATGTTGTGATCTGGAACAAGCAAACATCACTTCCCCACAAAACGGAGGAATTAATATTTTTGTATGGAATGTGCTTGTGCATTGGTGAATGATCATAAGATAGTACCTGTCGGGTTTTAGCCGCCCCCTCCCATGCCTCCCCTTCCCTCCTGACCTGCAGGAGAGATGGAAAGAGCACGCCCTGACCAGGAGGAGCCAAGAAAGGAGAGGGCCAACTGACCGCTGCCGGCACCCAGCCCTCCCTCCCTCCCTCCCTCCCTCCCTCCCTCCCTCCCTCCCTCCCTGAGGACAATCAGATGCTTCAGGGAGACCAGTCAAAGCAGGATCTCCTTTATTGAGAAAACACACACAGCTAATATAATGTACAGGAGCCAATCAGGATAAAGGTCAGCAGGGTGGGGAGAGTTCACGTGTACACCCAACCTACAGGCAGTAATGGGAGACAGGAGCGGTCCGTGAGGGCAGAAGAGTTCTGAACCTATATTAGAGGTGGTCCGATTTTTCGTCACAACCCACGGCAATGACTTCTGGCTAATCACCAGGCGCCGTCTTAGCCACATGTGGCCCCAGGACTGGGAAGCGGGTAGCAGCCAGCAAGTTAGGTTTCCTCTTATCTGATGCAACATGCCCCACATGTTACATCATGCCCTACAAGTACCCACTACAGTTACTATATTAAAGTTACTTTCATTGTTAAGAAATTAGCCCTCTGCCATCTTGCCCAACACTGCCTACCCACTTCTCTCTCCTCTGCACTACCCCGCCTCCACCCAAAATCCTCTTGCATTTCTTATGTTGAACACTGGATGATCCCTTCACTTCACTGTCACCTTCCAGAATATTACCTTCCGCCTGCAAATTGGCCTATCAAGGAATTTCCTAAAGATGGTGCCTTCTTTAAAAGCATCATCCATTAAAATAATAATTTTCCATATTCAATACATGAAGATCAGTTAAGTATGAAAGTGCTTTGAAAACCACAAAGTACAGTCCACATGTGAAAGGTTATTAAGTCTGTTTCTCTTAGTCACTGGACAAAGCTTCTTGGAATGAATCTAAGCTGTTTTTGCTTGCATCCATCTCTCTGCCTTGTGAAAAGTATAGGATCTAATGGATTTTCCTGAAACAACCATTTTCAGGCTCCAGAGAAACCTAGCCTCATTATCTTGAATTAAACATATCCATCCCAAACATCCATTTCCACTTTTTAAAATTCTTATTGGAAAATAATTTACATACAGAGAGACAAATCATGAATTTTTACATCTGTATCACCAGCACTCAGCTCAAGACAGAGAAAATGACTAGCTCTAGAAGCCTCCCTTGGGTTTTCTTCCAATCACTGCCCCCAAAGTTGACCTCTACTTGTTCCTGGTCACATGTGTACCAGTGGTAGAGCAGGGATTTGAGCCTGTGCAGCCTGAGCTCTTATCTCTGCTGCTTTCCTGTGTTTCTGAGAACACAGGCTAATAATATACCATAGAAAGCGATTGCAATGGAGACCTCCAAAAAATGAAGCCTAAGTTTAGGGGAACAGAATATTTTATAATGAGCAGTAGGCATAGCTGCCCTTTGCTCCAGAAGGAAACAGTATCATGCACTTTTAAGGATATTTGCTGTCTAAACATCCTAGGAAAGATCATCTGGAGCAGAGGCAGCCAGTCCCTCTGCTCATGAGCTGCATAGAAATATGAGAACCCCATGAAGAAATGTGTCCTCACAGCTGCTCTGGCCTAGCCACCTTCCACATCTGCTGCCTCGTCATCAGCAGAGATGCTGGAGCTGCCCACAGAACCCAAGGACTTGAAAGGTTGGCCTGAAAGGGAGACTATCATGCCATCTGGAGGTGGCCCCTGAGCAGCTGTGAGCCTAATCCATGTCAGGGCCGCTGGCCCTGGTGAGGTTGTGGGCTCTGAGGACACCAGCTGCTGGGCTCATGCTCAGGCCTCCTGGGCACACCCCCATTCTCTCCTCTGCCCTCTGCCTCCTCACACCTTCTCTGCCTCTCCTAAACCTTCTCCTCACTTCATTTTATTCTCTCTTCATCATTTTTTCTTTTGTTCTGGCTCTTCCTGAATCTCTTCCTCTCTTGATGGTTTTATATATGGGGCTGACTATATCACCATGAATGTGATAAAAGAAGGAATTGTCACTTACTCATAAGCTCTGCACCCAGAGATAACCACAGGGAACATTTTGGACACATTCTCCCAAAGTTTTCTCTACACGTGTCCAAATATACCAACATGCTTACCACCAAACTGAGACTCCACCCAAATGGCTCTCAGACTCTCTAAGCTGCTCCAGGGGAGAAGGCAAGAGGAAGAAGCCTTTCTTCCCTGCCTTCCCCTAGAGAAAGGGAATGACAAGAACCTGGGACCTTTGCTGGCTGCCCAGGGTATTGGTTTTCCGGGACACCAGCTGAACCTGAGTCCCCCTTCCTAACCCATTCCCAGCAGCAGGGTCAAGTCTAGGGGAAATCTCAACTACGAGGGGTCCTCAGGAATGGAGGCTGGGATGATCACATCTGTTCTCATCCCTGAGCAGATCCCAACCAGGAGGAAAGGAAGCTTCTATGCACACAGAGGAACCTGCGGATTGTAGAGCAGAGGCCAGAGTGAAGTGTCAGGGGGACTTCTATACTTGTGTCCAAGTATGCCCACACACCCATACAGACTTTCAGTCC